TCGTGGGTCCCATTTTTAAGGAAATCACAGCCTCGTGGGGTCCGGGTGCTCCTTGTGGGGCCCAAAGCCTGGGCCCCATAACTTCAGAGGCTGATTTTGGGTTTGGGGTTGGGTTTAGGACCAAGGTGTGAATTGAGTTTAGGTTAGTTTTAGGGTCAGGTAGGTACCTGTGAGGTTAGTGTTAGGGTTTGTGGTCAGGGTTAGGATATAAAATTACCAAAAAATGAATGGAAGTCAATGGGGGCAGGGCTAATATGCACAAGTCCAAAGTATGTTGAAATGAGAGTGCACAGAAAGAAACACAAGTTCCTTTTTTTTCTTTTTCTTTTTTTTTTTTTTTTGCTTTTCTTCCAAAACTCAAACGACAGCTGTGGGTTCTTCTTCATGAAACAATAACAAAAAAGAAATACAGAAAAAAAAGAGATGCATGGGAAAACAGATGCTATTGTAGAATTTAAAAAAATGATGCAAATCGGAGAAACAGATGGGATGTTACTGATTTAAAGGCAAAATGTGAAACAGATGTTTCTTTCAGCCTTAACAAAAGCAGAGATAAAACATATCCTCTGTGAGCTGAACTTAACTGCTGCACAAACACAATCCTTGTTGCAATCCCTAAATTATAGCTAAACATTTCCAGATTAGTAAATCTAAGCAAAATCCTGACTTAATTTAGGATTTAAGAGTCATAAAAGGTCAATTATCAGACACGCAGCGTTAAAATACAACAAAAAACAGACTGAATCTAATTGTATTTAAAAGGTTTATTCCACAGACTGAATGCTATTGACAACAGCTTGCATTGCACTGCTGGTAGATGGAGTCTTATTGCCAGAACTAAAAGCTTTACATGAGAGAGAGAGAGCTAAGAAAAAGACAGAAAACGTATTTTTTTTATCTTTCACAGAAAGAATTAAAWGTTTAATTAAAAAACACAATAGTTACGATATATTAACTTTCCAGCACTATGCATCCTTTTATGCTGTTGTAAAATCAGTAACTAGTTTATTCCTGATCAGTCTTTCTTTGAGGCCCTGTCAGACTATGACTTATTAGACAACTAATGAAAGTTTTGTCTGAATTTGAAGATGTCTACACTGAAGATGGAATAAGAAAAATCAACTGGAAGCCTCTTTTGGACTTATACACACTACAATGTTAACGATTACATCAAATATATAACATATAGGAATCATTTAGTCATAAAAATGTTTTCATAAGATGGCATAAGTTGTCTAAAACATTATAGTATGACAGGGCCTTTAAAAGTCAGTCACATTACAGCATCACATCCTACACAGCAAAAACAAGTGTTAAAATTTCAGTGTTAAACTTTTGGGTGTTGATTTAACACCCCCTAGTGTTATTTTAACACTTTCTGAGTACACTCACACCCAGTGTTGGTGTTAATTCAGTGTTGATTTCCTCAGTGTTGTCTCAACACTAGTGTTAAATAAGCTCCGCCCACAGTTAAGTTTTATGTAACACTTAACAGTGTTGTTATATGACACCATGCAGTGTTGAAAGCAGTATTTTTGAAAAGCCCCACCCTCTTCCACCTCATGTCAGACAGACCAGTATTTACCCAGCATTCCTTGCTGAGAAATCTTGCACAAATGATGTTTTTGCATGTTTATGACTCTTAAAGAAGTTCATGAGAGTAAAAATTAGTTGTTCTGGTTTGTTTTCTTGTTCAGTTTTATCAAGTTGTTCAACTTTAAGTTTATGTTTTTGGCCAAAAATCGACACCATGAGTGAGAGGGTGACTCCATTATATTTTTCTACTAACCACTGAGTAGTGTTAGTGCAACACTACAAAGAGTTTGATATTAACCGAGTGTTAAATTTACTTTCTCAAACATATGGTATACTGACACCTTGTGATGTCTGTTAATGTTTTAACACCACAATTTCCTTTGTCAATAATAATAATAATAATACTGGTGATATTTTTAACACTTGATTTTAATACTGTTAAAATGTTATTATTGACACCCAATATTATTGAATATTAGACAGTGGCTGGTATTAACATAACAAAAAATGGGTGTTAAAATTTAACACTTTCACAAACGTTATTTCAACACCAGCAAGTGTGGACACATATAGACACTTTGTTGGTGTTGAAATTTTGTTAATTTGTTGGTGTTAAATTGACACTGGCATTTTTGCTGTGTATAAATACTGTTATAGTCATACAAAGTCTGGTGCGATCAGTCAGAGGACACACATAGGACACACTTTAACCAAATACTTTAGTAAAATCAGACCTGAATTCATTGAATTACCAAAAAAACCATGGCTGTCAGTTCATTTTTAAAATGTACTGCATGTTGATCTGTTGCTTTAGTTATATCACAAAGTGAAAACGCCTCCTCAGGTTTGCAGAAATGCTTCAAATGACTGCACATGAATTAAAAAAAGAACAAATAACAACTCATCCTTAATGTTACACCAGATCACAACAGCTTTACAAAAAGTACTGCAACTTTATATAGTCACAGTAATAAGTGTTTGATATTTACAGTGGTTTTTCCTTGTTCAAGTAAACATATACAAACACATGAATATAATATATTATGTAATTTGAGTATAAAAACATGTTAACATGAAAAAATGATGTTTCTGACAAATATTTCCCACAGCTTCTAATGTAAGAGTCAATAACAAGTAACTGTTAGACATAAAGACAAACATTAAAAGACTACAAAACCATCTTTGTTCTAGCTTAGCTTATGAAATGACTGCATTGATGGGCATTAATTATTAGAATGACATGTGACTTATACGTTACATTCTCACATATCACAGGAGGTTTTTTTTTTCAAATTTAAAAATAGAGAAATAATAAAGAATGCATTATTCTGCATTTTCTTTGATAACAAGTTATACTGAACATTAAAGATAACAGGCCATGGCCACACGTTTCACAGTAGCACGGTCAGAATACGTCATGAATTTACCTGAACCTGCAGAGGTGTTGAATATAGACAAAGTCTGCTTAGAATTCCTGCACTTTTTTATTTATTTATTTTTTGCATCAGCTGGATGGTTTTAGTGCGTGTAATCATGATGTTCTGCTGCAGTGTTCAGAGTGCGCTGAGGTCAGAAAACATGACAATCTGAACACTTCGATTCTGAGGCTGCACATGTTAGGAGATGGATTTATTTTAGGCAACAGGTAAAATCAATATACATCCTAAAGGAAATGTGAAATCTGAAAATGAATACTGCAAAAACATGTGCATCTTGAACTGTATCAGTTTTTTGTAAATTACAGAAGAAAGCTGAAAGTTTTTAGTGGAGGTAAACTGGTACTTTGTTGCAGTGCAGGGTACTTTAAAAGTATTTTCTGTGTAAGTCTGTAAAATATCTGTTTTAACTTTGTCCAAAGGAAGACTCGACATAAACTGTCTGAAATGTATCAGGGACTACCTCTTTCTTTTTAATTTTGAATGAAATTCCCTTTATAACTATTTATTTTATTCCTCATTCTTTAGCCTAATTTTAAAATTCTATTATTTTCCTCATTTACTGGGTTTACATGGAGATTAGTTGATGTGTGATGTTGAAAATACATTCATTTCCTCTAAGTCAGTAGTCATAGTCAGTTGTTTTAAGGATAATCTTTAAGCTGTAGAGCTAACTTTATATCCTATAATAAAAAAAGCTAGCAGAGCTGTTTCCAACACGGTTCTTGGATCTGAAATCATCCCTCCTGAACTGAGCTGCCGGTTTCACGACGTTAGACGACTGCTGGCTTCATGTCTGACGTGGACAGAAGCTGGACTGCAGCAGCCTTCATGATAGAACTGATGGAGTCTCCTCAGAGTGTTTCAAGAGGCTGAAGGTCTTCTTCTTCCTGATTAATATGATCAGGAAAGCCTTTGCTCCAGTAGTTGCACCGATCAAAAGAATCAGAACGGAGGATGTCCTCTTGCTTATTTTGAACCAGACCTGGGAAGACGTGGTCGACCATCTCGCACAGGCGCCCAAAGCTGAGGAAGAATCACGATGTTTAGTATCTGTGTTTGCACTTGTTCTGTCAAACTACACAACTGAAAAAAAAAAAAAAAAAACAGAAAACGCTGCTTTACGAGGGAATGTTGGTTTTGGCGTGCTCCTGTATGAGCTCCCCCTTTGGGTTGACGGTGAAGATCCTGTTCAGAGGAATGCCCACCTCTTTATAAGAAAACACGTCCTGAAATCACAAAGACACAATCACAAAAGGTAAGAGAGTGAAAACATTCAAAATGCTGTTGCAAAAACAAGTGCTTGAGTCAGAATGAAAAGCCTCTTCCGTCTCACCGTGGCTCGGTTGCCGAAGGCCGCATAGAAAGGTTCAGTGTTTGGGTAGAAGAGATGCTTGATGTCTGTGAGACACTCCACCTTAAACGTTTCTGGTTTCTTTTCAATCACCTCCCTACGTCGAACACACAACAGCACCCATTAGTATTGCTTCTTCTTCTGCTTTTATTTAGTAAAGTTAAAACCATGGTGAAGATATAAAGCTAAGTAAACCTGAGATGTAAAATCTAAATTACCGTATTTATTCGTGTATAATATGATCTCATGTATGTAGGGATATTTGTAGTGATATGCTGTTGTCGATGTTATGGACAATATTATCATAAATACCTCGTAATTATTAGCATAACAAAAGGGGCACCACCTGTTTATTACAGGAAATAATTCATTGATTTTAAATCAGTCTTCATTACTGAGTAGTGAATTCTATCATTTTCAAGAACGAAACCCAAGAAATGACGCACAGACAAACGGAATTTCATAATATACCCTATATTATAAATGATTCAGAAGTCACAATACAACAGGTTATTTGGGCAGACAGAAAATATTATCATCAAACCTGAAGTCCAATAATAAACGTTAAAGTCAGTCACAATAATAAG